GAGGCGCGGGACCCCTCCGCCTCCTGGCTTTGCTCCAGGTATCCCTGGTCTGCTGGAGACGGTCCCCAGCAGACCAGGGCCACCTGGAGCAGCTTTTCTTGCCCTGGAGGTCGAGGTTGTGGGACCACTGCGCTCTGGGCGGTCCCGCTGCCTGCGAGCTCCGGGGCGAGAGAGCCCCGTTTGTAAGTCGGATCCGCGTAACTCAGGGACTGCCTGTATTTCGGAATAATGTCAACTATTCCGAAATAATGCTGCTGTGTAGACGTACCCTTTATGTACAGTCTTATTTATTCTTGATTTTTTTTCTTCATGTCTTTTTCATGCCTAGTTCCATTCTTCTGTCACACCTCTTTTTCACTTGGCAATACAATCAAATGTCTATTCCTCATGTACACCAATGTAAGAGAAAAATCCAGTCTTCTGTATTTTAAGTGCCATGTTAAGGCCTGCTCTGTACTAACTTATGTCAGCAGAGGTAAACATCTTTCAAATGTATTTTTGAAACCGCAGTGAGATACAACATAATGGTAAGAAATTATTTCCAACATCAGACTTTTAATTATGTATTTATTTCTATACCTTTTAATAAATAAAATTTTTCTTTCACAGTTAAAAAATCCCCAGATTTAATCTACAAAAGACAGCTGATAAAAGCAGGTAGCCTTGCTTGTAGCTATTACAAAAGCTTGCTGCCTCAGCAGACTCCAACTGCTCATTACAGAAACACAATCCAAGGCTATACAGGAAGATAAAACATAGAGTATTTTTCAGTAACCCCAATTTTTCCCAAACATTATATCTAAATTCCATCTGGACTTGCTCTTATGACTCTTACCATTGTTTCTGGTGTGCCTGTTTATTTTTTCACTAGGTCATGATGCCCTAGAATAAAAGGTCATTCCTCATTAACTTGATGAAAAGGAAACTTTTTATTAATATTATCAGGGTGGCTTATTTTTTCAAAACAAACCCAAGTTTTCTCTCCCCCTCTTACCCATGCTTCAAGAAGCACTATGTTAACAAAAGAACCCCTTTTTCCTTATGGCTATAATTCAACATGACACCTAGGGCAAATGACTAACATTTGTGTGGGTCTTTTTTCTTAAATAAAGGATGTTGCTGTGGATAGTCATGAAGAAAAATGAATAGAAGTTTCTATACGCAGCCCCTCTCCTTATACATAATAATGTGTCTGTCTCATCTCCAAACTTTATAATGGTGTTATCATTACTTTACTCCATTATAGAAAAGATAATTGAATAAAGCATTCATCTGAAATTCTGTTCACACCTCCCAGCACATCACTGTGACTGGGAAGTATTGTAGTATTGTTCAGCAGACAGAAAAAAAGGGGAGAAAGAAGAAAAAAGGAAATTTACATTTTACGTTTTTATTTCCTATTCATTGGCAGAGTATGCAATGGTGGTGGTGGAGATGCCAGGAAGAAGAGAGGTCGGGGACCCAGTAGAGACTTCTTAGGACAGTGAAACTGTAGAGATAGGCACTTCAAACTGTCATCCTCTCTCTGGCCCTGAGGCCTTCCTAAACAATCTAGAGCTGGTCCCCTAGCTTACTCTAGAACCAGAGGAAGTGAATTCAGTGGGCAGACTGAGATAATTGGATGGTTTCCATTGCAGTAATCACCTGAAAGTTAGAGGTGATTAAAATTTTCATTTAAAAAAAGTTTTTAAATGGCAATTAAAAAAAAAAGTCTTTGCAAGGAGACCTAATGGTTTTTCAATTCTTTTCAAAAAAATTTAACTTTACCATTTTCTAGCCCTCTCTCAGGGCTAGTGATCAAATATAAAGGCATCTTTCTTAGTAGGAACTTCACTAACCTATTCCAGAAAGTGTGAGACCCGGAATACTCCTCGTGAGTCTGCCTTCAAAAGGAGGTTGGGCTGTTCTCTCTCACCTTATTGTGCATCAGACAAAAAATAGTCTGGGACTAGGAGATACAGTTTTTATATGCTGTTAGGAATTGCAAATTTCAGAATGAGGGATATGTAGTCTTCACCTGACATTGTGTTAAGAGTATAGCAATTATCCAATAGAATAATAATGTCTTTATTCTCTGATATGTGACCTTATTCAGTTTCTACTTATTAGCCCCTTTCCCTTGTCTGTTAACATTTTCTCTTCATTGGCAAGTATCAAGTCTAAAATAGACTCCTCTCTTGTTGCCTAGGAAATTATCACTCACGAAAGAGCTAAAAGCTACTTTTTGCTGGTTTTCTTGGATAAATGTCCTATAAAAACGTTTTGTTTGTGTTTTGTGGGCCTGGAAAAGTAATAGTTATGCTTCACCTAGATACAGTACATATGCCTTCAAATTATTTAAAATAACATTTTTACAGAGTATTCATATTTGAGGAAATAAAATAGAAAAGCTGCATTAAAATGATTTTATAGAGCAGTCTTCAAGGTGATAGCACAGGAATAAGTAATATAGATATACCTATCAAAAATAAACTTAAATAGACAGGAATCTGTTAAGGCTTGAGGCTCTGTGCATCTAGACTGGCAAGGTGGACGCATTGGAGAGGGTCCAGCGGAGGGCAACCAAAATGATTAGGGGGCTGGAGCATATGACTTATGAGGAGAAGCTGAGGGACTTGGGTCTGTTTAGTCTGCAGAAGCGAAGAGTGAGGGAGGATTTGATAGCAGCCTTCAACTTCCTGAAGGGAGGTTCCAAAGAAGATGGAGAGAGGCTGTTCTCAGTAGTGACAGATGGCAGAACAAGGAGCAATGGTCTCAAGTTGTGGTGGGAGAGGTCCAGGTTGGATATTAGGACGAAAAAACTTCCCCTGCGTCCAGACTCAAGCCGCGTTCTTTCGAAATTAAATCGAAAGAACGCGGCTTTTCTTTCGATGGCGGTAAACTTCATTTCACGAGGAAGAACGCCTTCTTTCGAAAGTTCCTCTTTCGAAAGAAGGCGTTCTTCAATGTAAATAGGGCTTCTTCAAAAGAGAGCATCCAGACTCACTGGATGCTTTCTTTCGAAAAAGCAAGCCGCTTTTTCGAAAGTTCAACGTGCAGTCTAGACGCTCTCTTTCGAAAGAGGCTTGCAGTCTAGACATAGCCTAGGAGGGTGGTGAAGCACTGGAATGGGTTACCTAGGGAAGTAGTGGAGTCTCCATCCCTAGAGGTGTTTAAGTCTCGGCTTGACAAAGCCCTGGCCAGCTTGATTTAGTTGGAATTGGTCCTGCCTAGAGCAGGGGGCTGGACTTGATGACCTTCTGAGGTCTCTTCCAGTTCTATGATTCTAAGATTTTGCGCAAAAGCAGACGATTTTGCGCAAAAACTTGTCAGCTGTCTACACTGGCCGCTAGAATTTGCACAAGAGCACTGACGTTCTAATGTAAGAATTCAGTGCTTCTTGCTCAAATACTTTGACGCTCCCGCTCAGGGATAAGCCCTCTTGTGCCAGAATACTTGCGCAAGAGGGCCAGTGTAGACAGGCATCTTAATTTTTTGCACAAGAAAGCCCGATGGCTAAAGGGCCATCGGAGCTTTCTTGCACAAAAGCGCATCTATACTGGGCACGGATGCTTTTGCGTAAAAGCACTTAAATAGGTAAAATCAGAGAATACCCAAGGAAATTATGCAGATCACAGACTTTTTCAGTCTCATCTATACACTTGTGCTTGTATCATTTTAATCCATTTTTCAGTGTTATTGATAAAGAAGCAATTTAGTGGTTGCACTGAATAGTGCAGGGCCAGACTCAGCCCTGGTGCAACACCTAACCTCCTATGAGGAGCTGCACTTGCTTATTCCAGGAATGAATTTGGTCTGTTACCTTCACATTTATATTTGTATCTCAAGTTCCAAGGGTTATTTTGTTTTCCTTAAATGCTAATGTCAGATGGAAACAGATGTTTATATGGCTTTTATTTTAACTTTCAGGTATTTGATTGTTGAAAAATACCACAAAAGTATTTCAGGAAGAATTTGTTTTCTTCTTTCAGATCACGCCAAGATACTCTCTTCTCTGTTCCACTACTGGATTACAGATATCCTTCCTGTGAAGAACAGGAAATAAAGCATATGTGTGTGTCCATCTGTGCAGAGTTAAAATGTAATATACAAACTATAAGCTGAATAACAAATGTTCAGAGATAGCAGTGTATATGTTGAATATTCAGCAAGGTAAATGAGGTATTTTTTCTATCATTGACTTACTCCAAAAGATAATGTACAATATAAAAGTACTTTGATTTTGTATTTGGTTGGTTGAGAACATCTTACATATGGGCATGTATTGACCAAATCAATTAACATTAGACCCTGAATCAGCTGTTGGATCTAGGCAAACAGATGCATCAGTTTGCAAGATTTAGGACATACAGGATGGTTTCTAGGGTGCTCAGTTCCTTTTGATTCAAGAGTTACATTAAATTTAAGTGTTTATTGATAATTCCTTACTAGAAAATGTGGTTCTTAGCCATTATTGATCATAGGGTATCAGAATGATTCTAACTAGAATGATTCTAACTAGATCATAGGGTATCAGAATGATTCTAACTAGATTCTAACTAGAATCTAACTATTTGTAAAGTAGCCCAACACTACCCATATAAAAACCTTTTTTGAGTTGCTTTTAATTTTGCCAAACTTCAATCATTTGAGCTAAAATTTTCCATCTAAGTGTCTGCTACAGTCTAAGTCTTTTTGAAAACTTCAGCCACAACAGTTCTACTGTTCTCAAGAAAGACAAGAAGGAAACTAGTTATTTCTTTAAATTTTAAGAACATCTTTCTAGCCATGCTATTTTATTAAAAATTGTAATAATTTTAAATTACATATATATTTATAAATTTAAAAAAATCTAGTAATCTTTTCTTTAGAAACCTCTAGTTCCTGCATGCTCCGTAGCAGGTACTTGAAATTTGTCAAGGACTGGTGGTATTTGTGGCAGGTGTGTGTCTCTTGTGATTATGAAAATCTATTCAAATTTGGCAAAGTTGTAAACCTTTGAAAAAAATCATAGTTTGCACATGATCTATATAGATTTCCTAGAGTTTAATAGCTACCATCTTCAAAGATTCCATCTCCTCACAATTCCCGTGTGTGACTGGATTTGTATGCTCTCTCCAATCTAGAGCTACAGGGTGAAGTCTGACTTTTCCTGCAATGGCTACTCTGGACAAGGGTGGAGCTGGGTACCAGAAATAAGCACAGGAAACTTGTCTTTCTTAAGCCTTTAATAACCACCATATTGGCCCCTAGGCTGGGAGTGTAGAGACAGACTGGGACCCAAGATAGAGAAGGAGACTAGAACTTACCCCTGCAACTTTCATTCAGCCTGTTTATACATATGCATTAGTACCACCTTTTAATTGCATGATCATACACAATCTCCGTGGGGTAATTGTATCTGTCTATAACTGTAAAAATAAGTGGTCCTGTGGCACCTTAGGGTATGTCTACACTACAGCACTAATTCAAACTAACTTAATTCGAATTAGTTAATTCGAACTAAGATAATTCAAACTAGTGCATCTAGACTTAAAAACTAGTTCGAATTAGCATTTTGCTAATTCGAACTAGCATGTCCACATTGAGCGGACCCTCAACCGAGGTTAAGGATGGCCGGAAGCAGTGCCAGCAGGGCATCAGATTAGGACTTAGAGCGTGAAGCTGCTGCCTCAGACTAGCCGAGGGCTGTGCTTAAAGGGACCCGACGCCCCCCCCCCCGGAAAGACAGTTCTCAGGGGTTTCCCGCTTGCAAAGCAGTCCTGGCTTGGAGTTCCCTGAGTGCCCACACTCGGCACATCACAGCACTCGGCCATCAGCTCGGCTGCACTTGCCTCAGGCTGCCATCCAGGGGGGGAGGGGGTCAATCGGGGGGCTGCAGGAGAGTTTCCACCCCAAGGAGCCCGCAGAGCCACCCCCGTCCACCCCATCGGAGGCTCGTACCCCATTCCTCCCTCACCTCCTTCCACTTACCCCTCCCTAGCTCCTCTTCCTTATATACAAAATAAAGGACACGTGTGTTCAAAAATAGAAACTCTATTTATTGAACAAAACTCGGGGAGACTGGGAAAAGGAGGTGGGAGAGGGGAAGAGAGAGGGTGGGAGAGGGGAGGGCAACTAAATTGATCAGGAGTTTGGAACAGGTCCCATATGAAGAGAGACTAAAGAGACTGGGACTTTTCAGCTTAGAAAAGAGGAGACTGAGGGGGGATAGGATAGAGGTCTATAAAAGCATGTGTGGTGTGGAGAGGGTGCATAAAGAAAAGTTCTTCATTAGTTCCCATAATAGAAGGA